TTCTGGGAGCATTTTTGATTCACTATTAAGAATGTGATAGCAAAACGTGCCGAACTTAGCGGGCACGCGTGACGGTCACGTCACTAGGAAAGTGACCGTCACTGCTCTTGCTGGGTATGTACATACGGATAAGTCTGTACAGTAAAATGAATCGTTATACGCAGCTAATTTGTTTTTATACCCGAGCGCACTTGTGCACAAGGATATATTAATTTTGTTCACATAACGGTTGTTTGTAACAGCCAAAACGAATCGAGATAGATATAGACAAATGTATACATATATGCTCAGAATGAATAGAGAAGTCGATTAAGCCATGTCTGTCTGTCCGTCCGTCTGTCCGTCCGTCAGTGTACACGATAACTTGAGCAAAAATTGAGATATCTCAACGAAATTTGGTATGTAGGTTTCCGTTAATCCAAGGTAAGTTGTTATTGAAAATGGGCGAAATCGAACAGTAAGCACGTCCACTTCCCATATAACGGTAATTTCCAGAAATACGAAAACTGCGATATTTTAGTAACTGCTGAAGATAATTCACTCAAAATTGATATTTGCAACAATTTTTAGACTAAAAATAAGAATATTATAAATTTTTGGAAAATGGGCGTAGCCACGCCCACTTATGATTACATTTGCATATCTTGGTAACCGCTGCACCAATTTCTTCCAAACTTGGCAGAGTTGTTGGCCTTGATACAGCAAACTAAATGGCTGAAAATTTTAAAAATCGGACAATAACCACGCCCACATCCCATATAACGGTAATATTCAGAAATACGAAAACTGCCATATTTTAGTAACTACTGATAATAATTCACTCAAAGTTTATATTTACAACAATTTTTAGACTAAAAATAAGAATATTATAAATTTTTGGAAAATGGGCGTAGCCACGCCCACTTATGGTTACATTTGCATATCTTGGTAACCGCTGCACCAATTTCTTCCAAACTTGGCACAGTTATTAGCCTTAGTACAGCATACTAAATCGTCGAAAATTTTAAAAATCAGATAATAACCACGCCCGCATCCCATATAACGGTAATTTCGAGAAATACAAAATCTTCGATAAATCAGTAAATATTAAAGCTAATTTATTCAAAATTGATGCTTGCAACAATTCTTTACCAAGAAATACGTTTATGGTAAAATTTTGGAAAATGGACGAGGAACCGCCCACTTATGATCACATATATGTATATCGGTAACCGTTATACCAATTTGTACCAAACTCGGAATTTTTATTGTTCTTGCCACATAAAAGCAAAACGTTGAAAATTATTCAAATCGGACTAAAATTACGGCCGGTTTTCATATAACGGTAAATTTCAAAAATGCTTGAAACTGGAATACTTCGAAATTTAAGGACGCTAATTTGCTCAAAATTTATTCACCCCGGCTTATCATCGGTTCCGCCCGAACTTAGACTTTCTTACTTGTTGTTAATCTAGTTGTGTTTTAGTTTTACTAGTTTATGTTAACTATGTTTTTAAAAAATTTGACATCGAAAACAAATATTAAAACTCAAAAAAATTGTTGGTTGGTTTTGGTTGGTTATGGTAGGAAAAAAAATTTGTCTGTGGCAACGCTGGTTACCAAATCTTGTATTAAGATAAATAAAGTGTCTTTTTTATGCGGTTTTTTTATGCAGATTTGAATTTATTGATCACTGTTCTTCACGTTTTAACCCGACGTTTCACACGGATGACATCGCGGCTGCATATTTACTTTGTTTATAGCTAATATCAAGTAGTATGACAAGTGTACCACACGACGTTGGTATCGATGCGGGCCAATTAGTTTTAGTTTTGATGTTATTTATTTGTTTATATATGTACGTGAATTTTAACACATGTTTATATGTAAGTCCAAATATGTGATAGTTTTATTATTGTTTGTAGAACCGTTTACACATTTTTATACGGCCTTACTAATTTTTAAAAATGTATGTATATTTATATGTTGATGTTAAAATAAGAGGAGGAAAAACGCCCCTGAAGATGCTAAGGAATTTAGCGGAACGTCGGGTTAAAACGTGAAGAACAGTGTTTTCTTGCACATAAAAGTAGTGATCAATAAGCCTATAAAATACCAGAAATAATCTACCATAAATTGATCATTAACTAAAAATCAAATCAAATATAATAAAGCTTTTGATAATCATCTAGATCGAACCAAATCATAGATTTGGTTGAAGAATTATTTGGGTCCGGTAATTAGTAATCAATATTATTTTAATACATATTTCTACAAATTCTTTTCAACGTAGCATAAAAGGATTTTATTATGTTCTGCTAATAAGATATGTTTACGAAATCGTAGTTGAGACAACTGCGATTTGCTTTGAGAGCGGAAAATATTCATGCTAGAGAGCTACCCCTAAGTAAATGATTCGATCGTTGCCAGAGTGTCCAGATTGGGTGATTTAGCGCCGAATTAGCAATTTTTTGTTGAATGTTTGCACGTAAAAATTTAGGAAATCGCCTTGGGCGATTTTTTCTCTTGAAATAAATTTTTTTGGGCGCTACCATTTCGCCCGCGAAACTGTAATTAATATCAAATGAGCGCAACCACGGTTGTATGATAGTTTTCAACTAGGTTGCGTAAGTTCCACCTTTTCGTCCACTGCAGTTGAGAAATAAAAGATACTGATGCTTTGTATTTTTATATTTAGGATTTCACCAAATATAAAGATTTAATACCTCAATATACATATAACAACAATACAAAAGAAAATGATTCAGATGGTGTGTATAGATGATTTTGAGGAAATTGTGGATATAGCTCATCTCGCTTTATTATAGCTTTGTACTTTATTTCTAATCAATCAATATGAGTGATAATGAACTTATTAATTGGGCAGTCCTATTGCAAATCGAATGCAAAATGTGTTGATAGTATGTTTTAAAAGTGCACGTAAAATTGTTTGTTATGAGTTACTTGTGGTATATATTACTACTCTGAAGAAATTATATTATTTTTTTTTTGGTTTTAAAAACTATTCAAAAACAAGATGCCATTGTTAAAATAAAAAATTGTTAAGTGGATTTCATGAATTTTATATAAAAAAAGCCATTTGTCAATTTTGGGATTTTTTCTAAAGAAACTGCGCTTTTTTATTTAAACAATCCATACACCCTAATCGTTGCGCCTGCGCACATAAATCATGCGCAAGAGAGAGCAAAGCCTAATTTTGACTACTGAAAAATATTGGCGAAATAGACCGAAAACATACTTTGCGAAGTTTACCTTTTTCCAGCTTTTTATAAAACAACAGGAAAAATCTGCTAATTTATCCGATTTCCTTTAATAGCTGCAGCAAATCTATAGAAAATAATGGGAATTAGGGACACGAATTTCGATACGATACGATACCATATCGATACTTTTGCCATTCGATACCGATATTTTATACTCGATAGTTTTACAACGATATTTTTTGGAATCGAGTACATGAACTTCAGTATCGTATCGTATTTTCGGAAAAAATTCTACCAGTCATAAGTTAATATGAAACAACCTATGGTTCGCACAGACGCTACGTTGTAAGCTTATCCCTTTCTAATGCTTGGCGCGCTATGTCATCAGATTTGCGCCAAAAGTTTACAGTTACATATTCGACTTCACCAAAAGTAGCGGTAGTTTGCCAAATAAGTATTACCATGTATTTCGTCATAATCAGAGTTTCCTCTGTTGTTATTTATATTAAGAACACTTGTAATTTTTGCATACTAAATACAAGTAAAATCCAGTTAGAGTTATAATAAATCTAACATATTACGGAAGCTTGAATAGATTTGAAAAAATATTAGAGAAAATGTTGTTCTTTTAGCAAGTTTTTTTACTAATTTATAATAAAACATTTTCTTAAAAGAACTTTGATTAATAATGTACTAGTTTTACTTGATAAACTCTGATATTTTGTTGATTTTTTAGTATAAGTACAAAGTTTTTGTGGAAGTGTCCTTTTACAAAGCATTAAAAATCGACTTTATTTTTTGAATAAGAACAAGACGCATTTAACAGGTAGTAGCAATGTCTTTAGTTTTTGCTTTTGCTCTCTATAATGTCAAAATCTGTCAACAAAGGTTGATAGCTTAGAGTAATATAAGCAAAGTTTGACAATTTAGAGACCAGATACAAACAATCAAACCATGTGCTCTACGTGCTGAATGTGCATTGGAATTATGCCATTATATTATTTGCAAATTATAAAATTCATTGAAGATTTCGAAAAATAGATTGTGTAAATAAATACTTTTACAACTTTCATATTAGTATGAAAGCAAAATTGTTTGCCTCGTAAATACGTATATACGTATATATTTAACAATGTTATATGTTTTAATATATTTTTTACATATTTAAAACAAAAAGACATTATAAAATTACATGCAATCGCTTTTTGGCCAACTAAGGGTGTACAAATTAAAAACGACTCTGTGTTCGGGTTCTAATAGAGCAGTGGCAACACTTAACACTGTACTGATACAAAACTCATCTTCATTTACACATTGAGATTTGGTCATTGTACATTGCTGCAAGCAATATCGTTGGTCATTGTATTTTTTGGTAAGTGTTCAATTTTACTACACATTTTACAATATTTTAAATTAAATAAATATTTACAGGTTATGAAAACGAGCGAGATTTGGAAATATTACTCGGCGAAAAATGAAAAGGAGGCAAATTGCAAAATTTGCTTCAAGACCATAAAGCGCTCGGGAAACACCACAAACTTGCAAAAGCACATTCGGACACACCCGGAATGGTATTATAATTATAATTTTTTATCTAAATGCAGATATGTAATTGTTTATATTCCAGCGCTAGAAGAGATGTGCAAAGTGTAGATGAAAGGCAGAGAAAGATGCCTGGGTGTAAGGAACCGGCACAAGAACGCAACAATGGGACATCGCCAAGACCTAGCGATGTTTCGGAGGAGAACGAAAAATCCTCACCAATGACACTTACGCCGAAATCAGCTTCAACTAGGCAGCAGCGTTTGGGGGAATGTCTAAAACGACAGTAAGTTTGCTTCATTCTGTGTTAAAAAGTGTGGTTTCGTTTGTTTCATCGCTATTGTGAATTTTAATGGCAGAATTAACGTTTTTAAATTAAGATGCTATTTGTCGGGCTATCGCGCTTCTCATTTATTCAGTGCTATTACAATGATGCATGTTTTTGTTTCAAATTGCTATTCCATCATGTACATATCGACTGCTGAGTGGAAGATCGACCTATCTCGGCAGCCAGTTCGAAAACGAACTATCTCAAAAAACTTTTCAAGAACGCCCTATTCAGGACTATTGAAAAACACTGTAGCTCAGAATTCGGTTCAAAAATGCCCTATCTCACTTCAAAATGTATTGAAAATGTGCTGATATAGGGCGGGTTTCAATCGGCAGCTGAGATAGGGCGTTCTTCAATCAAATTCTGAGATAGAGTGTTTTTCAATAGTTCTGAATAGGGCGTTCTTGAAAAGTTTTTCGAGATAGTGCGTTTTCGAACTGGCTGCCGAGATAGGTCGATCTTCCGCTCAGCGGTCGATATAGTGCCACACAAAACTATTGGCAGAGAATATTTCATACTATGTAAAATTTTTAATTTTAATTTTTTATCCGCAAATTTTTTATAAAACATATAGTTTCTACTGCTACAAAAAAAAAACAATCAAAAAAGTCTCTCAACTCTGCAAAACTCAAGAAAATTCAGTAAAATTGCATACATATTTGCAAATTTCTAAATCAGATTTTTCAGAAAACATTTGAAAATTCAGTGTTATAGCTCATTAAATTTTAGGACAATAAAGTGCAAGTTTCATGTTCCTAAAAAATCTTACTGATTTTTGGCCATTTTTTATGACAGTGTCACGTAGTTCCTTCCATCCAAAGTTTGTTCGACAATTTTTTATATGGAAGAAGCTACGTGACACTGTCATAAAAAATGGCCAAAAATCAATAAGATTTTTTAGGAACATGAAACTTGCACTTTATTGTCCTAAAATTTAATGGGCTATAATACTGAATTTTCAAATTTTTTCTGAAAAATCCGATTTAGAAATTTGCAAATATGTATGCAATTTTCTTGAGTTTTACATAGTGTGAAAAATTCTCTGCCAATAGTTTTGTGTGGCACTGTATAGAATAAGGTCATATAAAAATAGATGGCTTATAACGATTCCGCTTTCGGTCAAAATCTTTAAACATAATATATAGTTAGTTAAAGTGATTAGCTCACTGTGGAACTTCGGTACAGAAATTATAGTTAAAATAAGCAGTTTTCGTTTTGTTGCAAGCTTTTATTTATCTGGCTCGACTTGCATGCATACAGCGAGTCACAGTTTTGATCACAGTGATTTTTTTTACAATATTCAACATGTTTTTCAAGTTGAGTCTTTTACGTTAATTTTCCATAAAAACAAAAATATAGTTTATATTATATTATAATAAATCAGTTTTGTAAAAAATTTAAAAACATTAACAAATTTTAAGCAAATTTTCAAAATCGTTAGATGTTTTTCGGGTATGTAGTTTTGTAGCCATTAATTTTAGTAACTTAAAGTGCAAGCTTGAAGTGAGAAATTTTAGTCACATACAAATTTTTAAAAATTATACAAAAATGTGGAGTATTATAAAAAAATTAATGTGTTATCAAAACTGGGACTCACTGTGTAAGTGATATATTTATTGTTTGAAGTGCCATAGCTGCTCGAATGTTGTTATTAAAGCTGACCGGTTAAGAATTCAAAAAAAAAATATTAAGAACTTGTTAAATCCAGTTTGATTTTGTTAGAAAAGTAAATTATTTAAAAAAAATTGTTCTTTTTGTTCATGAACGGCTTGTTAAGTTTCAAAAAACTCGATTTTTTTTCTAGCTGCAAGAAATGGGAAACCAACTGAATGAAGTTTTTTAAGAATTGACCAATCAAAGCGTAACAATGGGTCAATATTGGAGTTACAGCAAAGAAAGTAATTGGAATTGCGTAATATTTTTTATATCATTCTTTGGCATATACTGCAATTTACTTTGTTTTTGAAATTTTTAAATTAAATTCAGAGCACTATCAAACAACTATTTATTGCTTTAGATCTTTATACGCGGAAGTAGGTGCGCAGGAAGTGGCTATTGCCAAACACATTCTGTACTTTATATGCAAGGACAAAAGACCATTCGATATCGTGAAAGGCAAAGGGTTCCAGAAACTTTTAAAACTGTTGTGCCCTTCGTACACCATTGCTTCAGTTGACACCCTAAAGTCCAGACTAGATGACATTTACACAGTAAAAATGAATGAGGTTATTGGAACCTTTCAAGAAGTGTCTTCATTTGCTCTTACGTGCGATGTGTGGACTGAGACGATGTGCACAAAGAGTTTCCTGGGCGTAACTGCACATTATATACACAACAACAAAATGATGAGCAGATGCCTAGCCACAAAGGAATTGGAAGAGCGACATACTGCTGACTAAATAGCCGAAAATTTAAGATCGGTTTGCGCGAAGTTCCATATTGAAGCAAGCAAAATAACGTGCGTTGTTACCGATAATGGTGCAAATATGGTGGCAGCTGTCAATGCTTTTGTGGGTAGATCCAATCACTTATCCTGTTTTGCATTTTCATTGAACTTAATAGTTGAGTCCGTCTATAAACTTGAATCTTTCTGCGCGCTTTGCGAAAAAGTAAGAAATATTGTTAAGTTTTTTAAAAATAGCGTTGTATATAGTGACAAACTCCGCTCTTCGCAAAATTGCAATCCGCCATTAAAACCAATTTTAGATGTTCGAACGCGCTGGAATTCATTGTACTATATGTTGGACCGGTATGTACAGCTCGCGCCAACAATTCACCAAATTTTAGTCCTTGATTCCAAAGCGCCTCCTATACCAACAGCTCAAGAGTTAGAGACGATTACAACTATCTTGGAAGTTTTAAAGCCGTTTGAAATTGCAACAAAGGAAATCTCTGGAGAACAATTTGTGAGTCAGTAAAGTTATCCCAATAATTAAAACCCTTCGTGCACAAATGAGAAATGAGATGGTAAAAAACGGTTCGAATAACGACATAGTTAACAAAGTGAAAATGGTTCTAAATGACCAATTAACTATTCGCTTCAAAAATATTGAAGAAAATCACATTCTTGCCTTGTCATGTGTTTTAGACCCAAGATTCAAAAATATTGCGTTTTCCGATCCGTGTGCTTATGCCAGATGCCTATCTTGGCTGCGGGATATGCAAAGTCATGAGGAAGTGTCTGAGGCACAAAAAGATTCTGACGTGGAAGTTGTAGAATCCCCCGAAAAGAATGATTTTTGGAACCACATTAGAACCTTGGCATCTGGTAGGGAAGGGGGTCGCGCGACACAACAAAGGGAAAGCATTAGTGAATACATACATTGCAAACTTCTTCCAGTAAATGCTGATCCGTTGCATTTCTGAAAAGAAAATATAATCAAATATCCTTTTTTATCTAAAACTGCGCTTAGATATCTTGGGATACCAGCAACGTCTGTCCCGTCAGAACGATTGTTTTCTAAGGCAGGCTTCACAATGGCGAAAACGCGCAACAGGTTGGCGGGTAAGAGGCTAGATAAATTGCTTTTCTTGGCGGATTGCACTGAGGAGGAGTGGGGTTTTTGAAGAGGATTTTTCGCGTTCAATATGTTTACGGATATTCAACTCATTTTTTGATTAATTCTTTAATTTATACGAGTTGCATTTTCGTAGTATGCATAAAAAGGCAAGCAAAACTGTATTTCTATTTACTGGGAGAATTTCTAGTCAGTATTTTAAGTACAAAATTCATTTTTTTTTTAATTAAATAACTTTTTATTTCTTATTTAAGAAAAAAAAAGACAATGTTAATTAAATTCACATTACAACACTAAAAGTGTATAAGACTGAACTGTACTCAACTAAAATGTATTACATTAATGTAATTTATAATATTTTTATAATAAATTAAAAGTATAAAACAGTTTAATTAAATTATTTTTGGCGAGTTTAAGGTAATGTATCTTCACTTCAGAATTTAATTGTAAAGCAATAGGATATATCTGTGGTCATAAGCTATAACCGCCTAAGTCGAAAAACCTGAACTCGAGAAAAAACGTTTTAATCATTTGGATTGCAATGTTAACGTAATGGGGAATCTAAAATATGTTCGTCTATAATTTTTTAAATAGCCTAGCTAGCGAGATGTAGATTTCACATACACATGGGATAGTAGTTGTATGTAGAATACGATAGCATATAGAACTCAATTCTTTCTTAAGTCGTCTTAGGCGGTTATTGCTTATGACAACAGATATGTGTATTACATAAAATATGTAAATCCTGCATTTATATGAATATGCCTTAACATTCTGCGTCAGGCTTGGGCCGATTTCCTTGCATGGGATTTCGCTGTGTGCCTCAAGATTTGTTTCGCATTCCAATGGCTAGTTAAGGAGCTTTAATGGGCACCAAAGAGGTTAGTAATGTTGCGTTCCAGATGCTTCACGATTTGCAGGTTTTACAGGATTTGCAGGAAAAGCTGTTTTCTCCATTAATAAACCTTATGGAAGGTTGTCACCTGGAACGGCTTCCTGTAAAAACTTGCAAATCGTGAAACATCTGGAACGTAACTTATGTGTTGGGATTTCAACCCGCTCCTTCTGTGTAGTAAGTAAAAACTTATTAAATTAGAAATTAAGAATTTTTTCATGTGAATTTGGTATCGATATTTTGGGTATTGTTTCGATATTAATGAGTACCCGATTTTTTTAGAGCGATACTTTAAATGAGTACCATATCGGTACTTTCGGTTCGATATCGTGTCCCTAATGGGAATTGCCATAAGTATATTAGAAAGCAGTTTAAATATATTTCAGAAATCAAATAGCAAATATGGGTCAAAAAGCAATTGCGTCAATTTGAGGCCCCAACTACTGAAAATATGAAATTTTAATAAATCCTAGACCCAGGCCTGAATGGGCGAATCAAATTAATAAAAAAGTTAAAAATGTTATCATATGCGGGGAACTTAAGCTTTTATGGTTTCAATAGATTAAAAAATGCACTCCAACAATTGCAAAGGTACTGCGTTTTTAGATTTCACACCATCATTCGAGAGGGGAGTACATCGGTCTAGGGCGCAATGACGTTTTATGGAAGAAATTAATTCCAATTTCGAATATAATACAAACAGAATTAAGAATTTTAGGAGAGCTAAGTAAAGTGTTAATTTTTCTTAGTGGCTGTTCTAAATGCAATGTAAAATGTTTAAGAGAATACATAATATGATTTTGTTCATTTCTTCCTTTTGACCACTTTTCCCCACTTTTTCCCATACAGTAAAGGTAAAAGAAAAAAATAAGATTAAAAATTCATCTGAAAAAGATGATTGTACCTAAAATCTGGTGATTGTACCTAATGCACCTTTAGGTCAGCAAACGTCGGAAAAAAGTCAAATTGTACCTACTTTTTCATCCCGGGTATACATAGCTATAATATGTATGAAACTATGTACAATCTTGTCTGTTTCAGTTATAGTTTTGCTATCGTCTGGAGTTATTCTGGTGCGTGCGTAGTTATTTAAAATATGTGTATTAATATTTTGATTCAGGACAACCGGGCGTTTCTCATTGGATATTGAATTCAACCTAGTTATAATTTAAAAGTGTGTATGTACCCAATGGCTCAGTGCGTAGAAGTCCACGTAAGTGGGAAAAGCTTTTGACTGCCATTAGCCTTGGAGTGGCCAGAAGAATTTAATGATGAGCTTTACAATTATATCGACATATTGAACCAATTTTCTTACGCATTTTAAGTTTTTAAATTAGGTTGCTTAGAAAGAGTTTGATTTGGCAATTGTGTAGCCTGTTTTTAGTGGGATAGAAGTTCATAACCCAAGTTATAGATTATGTACGAAGTTATCTTTTTTCATTTCCATCGAAATTCATGAAGTTGTCCGCTTTCCATGGTTGTACAACACAATCAATAAGTTGCAGTTTACTCAAAATAATAGCTTTTTATATTTCAAAAGTATTCACAAATACTTACATTTTGCAACACATCATTAATATTTAATGCGTACGCTTTAGTTATTTGTGCAATGATTTTGGGTTGTTGTGTTCAAACGCGTGACCCGACTCTAAAAAACTTGAATATACACGTGTAGTAAAAGTATTAAATTTCAATTTGTGCTGTGTGCGAGTTGACCTAAGTTTTAGTACCTAAACTAATATTCCACTGGAAATTTCCAGCACTGCTACAATTTAGGGAAACAACTGCTAAAACTGCGCGAGTTCGCATCGACAACCTAAATTGTTTGGGCAGAAGTAAAGAATAGGGCCCACTCACCTAGGAAAAAAATATACATAGTGCATAAAAGGCATTTGAATTACCATCCATATCCACATTTTAAAATTCGGTTCAATAATTTTCGAAAAAATGCTTTTGAAAATTTTGGAAGTTTCACTTTTGCCGCCCCTTTTAATTTGCAGCAAAAAAAAGTGTTTACCATCAGGAATAAGAGTAAGACACGACCACTTTTTCTTTTTTACTAGCACAATGGGCATTTTTCTGAATACTCTCTTTCTTGTGCCATAGCGATGATAAAAATTATTTATAACTTCTAAAAAAACATTGTTCGCTTATTCGCCCGCCCAAATATATTTCACAGTTCAATTTAGATTGAAAAGTGTGCTCGAAAAAAATCTAAGGGCCGATTGTTCAAAGTCCGGCTAGCAGAAATCGCAGGTAGAAGCACCCGTTAAACACAACGACTGCTTTATCGATCACATGTTATATGCATGATGTCGAATACGTCGATAGTGTAGTCAAAGTGATAATCAGACATTGAACAACCGGCCCTAAATTGTTCCTATTCACTGCATTACAGGAACTTTCCAGTGCTTTATGATTTTTGAAATAAGCATTTTTTTGTAAATTTCGATGTGGGTTCTGCGCAAAAATACTGTGGATGGCGTATCCGGAATTATATGCACAAGAAATGTTGTATAAGTAAATCAAACACGGTATTTTGGTTTGATAATTTTTATTTCCCTTGCTATGCAAGGGCAGCCGATAATGCCGAGCGAGTCAATACAACTGATTTTAGCGGTGCCTGCACCTGAATTCCTAACTCCCTAACTGCCAACACCTCACGTGGACTGCCGTGTGACTCTTCTTTGCTGAATCTGCGATTCCCACGATTTTGGACTGCAGGTGTTCGTTGTTGCTGGCAAGCGCTTCCGTTGTTATGGCTCCGTTACCTGAGCTGCAGCTGCGCTTTTTATTTTTACTGATGTAGTTGTTTGCGCTGCGCTTACGGATTTTGTTCAGTTGTGTGTGCCTACTGCATTATGTTATTTTGCTTTATTATTGTGGCTGCCTACTGCGGTATGTTAACTATTCCCCCGCTAGAAGAGGAGACGTCCACGGATTCCTTAAGCACGTTGCTCAATATTGCAATGTTAGCGTTGCGTTTCCGTCGCTTGTTGATTATATAGGCTAATACGACAACAACAAAAAAGGCAA